GCTATGGCCCTTTAAAGAGGAGGTATATGGTGATAAGAGAGGTTAAACAGCTTGCCCACATCACCTGTCTAGAACTTTGTAGAGCTGAGGTCTGAACCAGAAAATTGCCTTTAGAATTTATAATCAGACCCAATTCTCCGTTTCCTAGATCGTGTAGCCTAAGCAAACTGAGAAACTCAAATTTATATAACTGAAAGTGGCTAAATTGTAAACGACTTTATGATTTAGTTAAATGTTAAATACACTTTTCCTTAAAAAGCCAATCAACTCCATTATGCCCAGAAATTCACATAAGCCCTTAATAGTATTTTTTTCCTGCAAAAGAATATTTTATAAAGCTGTCTTACCTACATTGGTTAATTTCTGTGTGCCCAAATTTAAATCCATAGGTTTTAGGTTCCTAGTAAAAGGGATCAAATCCTTCTTCTATCTGTTGCTCATTAGTTAGATGGCTTGGACCTAGTAACATGACCTCGGGTAACCTTGGTTTTCTCATATTTATAGTAGAAGAGAAATGGTGTATAGTTCGCAAGGTTAAGTTGTCCCACAGATATAGAAGTATTTTATTTAGCACCCGCTGTGTTCAAAAGTGTGCCAAGTTAGTAGGAGCTATGGTATAGATGTCCTCATCATGCTCTGTCCAGAGCTGTTCAGCCTGGATCATGGAAGGAGCCACAAGTCAGAGGACAGGACATTTCCAATCAGTGTTGTGTCCCCTTATGATGAACACACTCTTTTTATTCATCTGCCACTTCCAGGGACTTCATGCAGCTTATTTTTGTCACTGTTACTTCTAATAATTATCTGTCTTTGTAGGTGCATCCCGCTAATTCAAAGAATAATTTTATTTTGAAAGAATTTAACAGAAATTTTGACTCTAATGAGCTCTTCAAGTCAGAAAAATCCTGTCTTAATGACTGTATTGTGGAAAACCTTTCATAAGCAATCCAAAGACAATTCAACACTTTAATTCTGGGTGTGAAAGCATGACGAAGGTGGCAGCCATACCTAATAACTTAGAAATATGTCCCTGCACAGTGGTACCTCACAGTGACAAAGGAAACCACACAAATGCATTTTGATAATTTAGTAATAATACATGCTTCTGTGATGAGTAATACTAATTTGGTCAAGTAGACGAGGCAGAGGAAACTATATAAATTGTCAGTTGGTTTTCTGAATTGAGTTCTCAATATTTTGATGAAAACATGGTTTTCCTTGACAAGGGGTAGCAAGATTCAAGACACTCTGTTATCTAGTGAATTTTTAACAGAAAAAGTTGAAGAACTTTTAGCACTTTTGAACTTTTCTCTTGTAGAATGTGTCATTTCAAAAGTATCTCAGGGATTAGAAGCAAAGCTCAGTAGTTAAGAATCCACACTGCTCTTATTGAAGACTAGAGTTTGTTTCCCAGCACCTTTGTTGGGCAGTTCACAACCAACTATATATCCAGCTCCATGAGATCTGGTGCCCTCTTTGGACCTCAATGAGCAGCTGCACTCATGTGCACATACACATAATTAAAAATGAAACTGATCTTTAAAATCAAAGGTATGGTCTGGCTTTTCAGAGCCCACTCTCCATGGTAAGACACCTTGCACAGCCTTGATGCAGGGGGAGGGTCTTGGACCTGCCTCAATTGAATGTACCAGGCTCTGCTGACTCCCCATGAGAGGCCTTACCTTGTACCTCAGAGGAGGGAATGAGGTGTGGGTTGGGGGAGGAAAGGCTGGGAAGGGGGAGGAGGGAAGAGAGGGTGATCTGTGGTTGGCATATAAAATGAATAAAAAAAGTCTTAATTAAAAAATAAAATAAAAGGTATTTAGTCAATCTGATTGCTATAACAAATATATTACAAATTAAGTGGTTTATGCATAACAAAAATTTCATGGTACTCAAGGCTATCAAGCAAATTTGGTCCTGCTGACCTGCTCCCTTATCCTAACCATAGTCATATGATTGCACTCAGAGAAGAGCAGGGATTTCTCCGGGGTCTCTTTTATAGGAGTGCTAGGTTTCCTGAAGGCCCCTCCTTTATTTCCTAATCACCACTGAGGTCGTCTTATCTTAATACCATAGCTGCAGAGTTTAGAGTTTCAACATATGAATTAGGAAGGGACAAAACATTCACACAATTGCTGATTTTTAATGTGTTGCTCATTGCTCATTGCTAATTGTCTCTGGGTATATATATCCTTTATATATATCATATAATATATATATATATATATATATATATATATATATATTCTTTTTCCTCTGAAAGCCTCTGCAAGCACTTCATTTGGAGCACAAACAGAGTTAAAGGCAAAATTCTCAAACATATAAATTAAATAAATAAACATAAAAAGTCCTTTAAGAAATATATATTTTAAAAAAATCTATTTCCAGGTTAATTTTAGTTGAATGAATTGCCAAGCATAAACATGAACCAAAAATCTCTCTCCTTTTCCATTATTCAGCTACCAAGGATGAACCTTTCAGCCCGTAACTGTACCTTGAGATTATCCTCTCCTTGGTCATCCTTTGGCCTCATTCAGTAGTAGAATGAGTCCCTTACCTAAGTGGGATCCAGAGAAATGACAAAAGCAGAGGATGGTAGAATCTTGAATCACTAGAGGTCAGGTGTCCTCAACATGGCGTTACTGTTAAAAAGAGTAACCCTGCCTTGCGTGGAACTAAGAAAACCAATGGAAATGGGTGAAACTTGCAGACTCTGAATTCACAGTCATCATTTCCAGCTTTGTCACTGTTTGCATACCATGGCAATGGTTCCTGCCTTCGGCTCCATGTGTGTGCAATCCAAATCCATTTTCTGTATTGACACAAGAATGGTGTTTCCAGGAGTGCAGTAAAATTTTGGACAACATCCCTTTTAAAAGATGACTTTCTGACCAAATCACCGCATTGTGGACTGTAAAATACAGAAGTCAAAACTCACATTAAGTTCATGCCATATACGTGCGCTTCGTGGATCTCTTCTTTCTATTTCCATCTCACTGCTCACCACTGGGCCTCCCCGTGTGTTACTCTTCAGAGATACAGAATGGCATGCCTCTGTCCAAATGCACATGTTAATTAGTCACAATTACTTCTTGTCTTTGCCCACAGTCTTTCTCTCCAAGCCTTAGCCAGCTCTGGGTACCTGTCTCAATTTTCTCCCCTCATGTATAGTTACTTGCAGACTGTTCCTCAGGATACAGCTTTCTTAAATGCCCTACATGCTCTTTGCCATATGCATCCATTTTTATTTATTTATTCCCACTTTAGTAATTTACCTCATCATCTTTTAATGTGCAGACCTTAATTTGATTTTTTTTACCTCTCCAGCATCTAGCACAGTGTACAGAATATAATGTGTGCTATGTGTACATGTAGTTCTAAGTATCAGCATATTGACAAAATGTTTGTTATGTCTTGATCTGTAGGCAGTAATAAAGGAAATGATTTTTTATGAACATTTCTTAAAAGGATGGACTTATTTGGAAGGATGTGAAAATACATCATCTCCAAGGCAATAAGCTTATTTAATTCTGATCCTCTAAGTTCTGAAAGAATTGTATGTTCTCCATTTACCTTTTTTTTTTTTTGAAAATATTTTTGGAATAACTTATGTACTAAAACAGCACTATTTGGGAAAGAGGGCAAAAATCCCATAAATACCATTTGTGAGTTGATTTCAGAAAGCACCAATAAATGTGGTGTCACCTAGCTGTTGACTGATTGGACCATATCAGACGGTATCTCCACCGCTTGTATTTGATAGGCATTTCTGTGGAGGCTGCCTCCAGAAGCTGAGTGAAGCAATCTTCTCTTTACACTACACCGGGTATATAGTTCATAATGTTTTGACCTATATGATTTATGTGTCTGTTTTCCACAGCTTTTGTTTTGATATCAGGAGCCATTAATCCTTCACAACTGTGCAGTTGTGATGCTAACTGCCAACAGCAATGATTTGTAATTGGAATGAGAATGTGCTGCAGCCTTTTTATTATAATTCTGATATGCTTTTGAATGACCACATTTTACAGCTGAAAAAAAATCAAATATACTGTTTATCTGAATTCCTCAGGAAAAAAAAAAAACATGTTCACTCTTACCTAATCTGAGTTTTCTTACCTTGCCTTTATGTAAACTTTGTATAAAAGGTATAACAACACTTATCTTCCTGCTTGCTAAAATTTAACAATAAAAAATTATTATTTCTGTGGATCAATATTCTTATAAATTTGTGTAGAGATTAACCTTTCTTGTATGATGAAAAAAAACAAGCTTTCTCTCCCAACACCCCATCTCATTAACAATCATCAATAAATTTTATTTTTAATTTCTCTGTGTGGTTTTATGAAGATAACATATTAAAGGCTAATTTGTGGGTCATTATAAACTATGTACTCTCACTTGTGAGTTCCTATAATGACAACTGATGTCATAGCAGCCCTTCATTTAAAATTAGACTCTCATGAACCCCTAGGGTATCTTTTATTCTATGTATAATGAGTAAAAATAATATAATTCTTCAGCCTTGAGAGAATCTATGCAAATGACTTTGGTGCCGTCAAACCATGAAAGACTTTATAGTTATGGAGAGCTGTGTTTGTTTGGAGTGACTGTGTAGGAGAAAGATGACACTAAGCAAAAACCATAGAGAAGAAAATGATGAGGGGTATGTAGGCCAGTCCAAGGATGTGTTAGCTTATCTTCTAGGACACCTGCACACCTCATTAATGAAAATGTTTGCAAAAGGATATCAAGTCCCCGAGAAAACCAGGCAAACATTTAGCCCATTTTCAGGTAATTCATTCTTCTTTAGAGGAACTCAGGAGTAAAAGCCCAAAACTTATCTGTGGTTTGCCACTGCCCCACAACAATTTTTTAAATTTTTGAACGTGTTCTAGGATTCTGCCTTTACTTTAAGAAATGAAGTATCCCTTTTTATAACGTGAGGAACTTCAACACCGAGTGACTCCCTTTGTGGAACTTGATTTATTTTTCAGGGAATGATGTACCTGGAAGAAAGACGACTTGTTCATCGGGATCTGGCAGCCCGTAATGTCTTAGTCAAATCCCCAAACCATGTGAAAATCACAGACTTTGGACTAGCCCGACTCTTGGAAGGAGATGAAAAGGAATACAGTGCTGATGGTGGTAAGGTAGGTGGAGTTGAGAGCAACATCTCTTGAAAATGTAGTAAGATAATTCTTTATCTCTAATAATAACAATGGTGTGATACTTCTTTATCTCTAACAATGGTGTGATACTTCTTCTGTTTTTGTTTGTGTTACTGTTTTGTTTTGTTTTTCAAGACAGGGTTTCTCCATGAAATTTTGGTGCCTGTCCTGAATCTTGCTATGTAGACCAGGCTGGCCTCAAATCACAGAGATCCTTCTGGCTCTTCCTCCTGAGTGCTAGGATTAAAGTCACGTGCCACTGCCACCTGGCGATGTGATGATTCTTAGAGACTCAGAATATGAACCTTTAACAGAGGGCTGTAAAAATTGTCCCATTGATTCTGAGATTACAGAGCTACTACATAATGACAGATTTTTTTATGCACTGAGAAGCTTAGGTACTATCAACAATCATAATATATTTGAAATCTGACCATTCTCATTTCTAATCTCCCTAGCACCAAAAATGATACCTGGCAATTACCAAGTATAGTTGCTTTGATTTCGCTTATATCATAGTGAATGATTTGCTTACATTGCTTTGCTTATCACTTGACTGTACAACAGAATACATGCTAAGCTACTAATATTGAAGAGTATTGAACCCAGTTACATCTTTAGCTACTTTTTCTAACCCCCAAACTCATGTTTGGCCTGACAAATGTGTTTCTGCATGTCATCATCACTATATGGTTCACCTGAATCTTAGTTACAAGACTTTTTTTTAACCGATTAATCCATATTCTTGGCTAATTAATTAGGGAAATTTGTATGTGAATATTCATCTTGCTTGACCTGAAGAAACCTATGTCAGAGCAGGTCAATGATGCAATCCCATGAAATCTTAACCTCTAGTGACCTATGAAGCTCTGATAAAGAAAGATTGTTTACATACATGAATCTGTTAATTATATACCTTACTTTTCTATCACAAGTAAATATTTGCAGTAATAGGCTTCTAAACACTCACATTGATCATCCTAGACCTTTACATATTCTATATTTATATGTCCTCCTTTACATATGTCTATATTTAAATCCTACCACAAAGTAAGATAACGTAATTTTATAAAAATATAACAATTCCAGTTTTGAGAAATTTTCTGACCTTCTCCCAATCTTATCGCCTATTTTGTCTGTTTACTACCAAACAACAGTGGTTTAAAGTCACAGCTCTAAAGTTCTCAACAAGATTTCTCAGAAATAGCAGTCCATAAATCACATGACTTCACCTGTCTTAGGAACATACAACTGTAAGGTTTGTCTAAAGCAAGATTCATTATAGCTTTAAATGCCTGGTCACCATTAAGTCTTTATCAAGCCACCTATGATTTAAACTCACTTCTCTAACACGGTGTCCATAGTCCATAAAGCCTGCTAACTCCTTGCCCATAGGGAAATTACTTTCAATGTGTCTTCTGTTCCTTTTCACTGAATCCCATGATTCTGTCATAGAGTTACCTTGGTGTCACCTTGGTGAGCAGCCAACCTCATGATTTCAAATGCCTATTTAGTTTTAAGCTTTCAACTGCAAAGTAGAAATGTTTATCTTTATTCCATAGAATCTAATTATATCCCAAGCTCCATAATGCTGCCCTTTGAGTTGAAACACATTCTGCTGACCCATCATCCACAGGCTATGTGGGTTGAGTTGTTTTTCTTGTAGTGATGATGGATTTGTGCTGATCCTCTCACATTCTTTTATAGTCCTAGCTCCTATTTTGAAAACGGTACGTATTTTCAATTCTGGCTAGCCCAGGCAAGGGAGATCATTTGTGGCTGGGAGACAAAGCAAATCTAACTATGGAATTCATGATTTTAGACAATTTAGTGACCAAAAGAGGAAGTGAGGGCAGCTGAAGAAGAAATTCATTACATCTGTGGTCAAAAATATATCTGAGGAAGAAATGAAATCACTGAGAATGGAGGACTCTGAGAAAACATAATATACAAACATTTTTACATTTGATATTGTCAGTCATAATACTAGCTCATAATTTAGATGCTAGACATTAAGAAATGTATAAAGCTGTTGAGATGTTTAATTTTCTTTGTGTTTATGAAGCTTTAAAATATATTCTTTGGTTAATTTACTTTGTAGATTTTATGAATTTTACTTCATTTGTTCCCTGTCTTGAAAAACAACTGGTTTATAGCTATATACACACCATCAAAAAATATAATTGAGGTCAGTCCAGAGACTAGCACTTAGAAAATATAAAAATGATTTCTTGTGTGATTTTTAATAATTCACTTTTTATTTTTCTATAGATGCCAATTAAATGGATGGCTCTGGAATGTATACATTATAGGAAATTCACTCATCAAAGTGATGTTTGGAGCTATGGTAAATAAATCTTTATAAATTTGGCCTTTTAAAGAAAAATGTGTTTGCTTCATACAATATATATAAGGTCATATTTTGGCAGTATTGGAAGTGCTTACTTATAAGCTTGACTCCCTAAAGGATTTAACTCTTTGGTCTTTAATTTAAAAAGCTAAATAGCCCAAATCACAATTTTATCTATCTTCTTGTGATTTTTTTCCTGCTCTTTTAAATGTAAAATATATAATATCACTGCTAGGTTTTTTGCTATAAGCTTTGGTTTGACACAATTTGTCTCATGATTTATTCAAGCATAGACACAATAACTGGCCAATGTTAGAAACAATTTCTTAGACTCTCATGCCCTTAATTTTCAACAACTCTTGGGTCATATAACTCTGAAAGTGATAAATGTTGAAGGGTAAAGCAAAACAAAACCATATTTTTGTTTGTCTGGTTTTTTTTGTTTTTTTTTTTGTTTTTTGCTTAAAGGACTATGTGTTCTATGGTAGAAAACACAGTGGTTACTGGGGCAACAACGAGCAACTAATAAACACAGTCAAGTGACTGTGGAAGTGGTGATGAGAGAACACTGCTAATTGCAGATTTGATTTTCATTTACAAACTACATTTAGAAAGACAGAGCGAGATTAATATTTGTGATTAGAACATTGTTTTCATTACATTGAACTCAGTTGTTGAAGTGAGCTAGTTAGCAAATTGTCTGTGCTTACAACTTTGTCCACCTACAGCTTAACTAGAAGGGATCAATTTTTTGTCCATTTTTAAAAATATGGCACATAAAACTAGTATTAATCGCTAATGAAAGCACAATGCCTCTGGGCCTGTGAGATGGCTCTGAAAGTAAAGGAGCTTATTTCCAAGCCTTATGGTGTGAGTTCCATCCGCAGAACCCACATGATGGAAGGAGAACAGCAAGTCTTTCAAGTTGTCCTCGGATTTCCACTCATATCCTGTTGTGCAGATCCCCACATCACACACACACACACAATAAATGAATTTATGTAAAAGAAGAAAATAGAAAAACAATACAATCCCTGGTATGATGATTAGTGTTAATTTTCAACTTGATAGTGTCTAGAATCACCTGGGATATTTGCTGTAGGCATCACTATCACTATGGGATACCATACTGAACATGTAAAGTGACACAGGAAGACCTGCCTGCTGAGGGTAGAATCATTCTCTAGGCAAGAGGTCCTATACTACATAAAGTGGACAAAATGAGCTAAGTTAGTATTCATGCATTCATACCTCCTTGTTTCCTGATTTTGGGTGTGGCATGACCAACTGCTTCAAGCTCCTGCTGTCCTGACCTTTTCACTACTGTAAATTATTGCCTGAACTGTGGGCCAAAATTACCCTCCTCCCCATAAGTTTCTTTAGTCAGAGTATTTTATCACAGAAATAGGAGATGACACTAAGACAATAATTAGTATCAAGAAAACGAGCTTTTGTTGACCTCATGGTTCTTAGGCCTTTAGAACTGGTTCTGTTGTTGTTATTAATTTTGTTTTGTTTTTTATGGGGAGGATGGTGGAAAAGTTTAAAAATTTGGGCTAGGAAAGTCCTTGAATGCTCTAAGAGATTGATGGGCCATTCTGGTAGGAGCCTGGAAGACAGTAATGATGAGAAAAAGTAGGTGGTTGAATGAAGCCTGCATCAAGGCTATTGCAGAAGGGAACAATGAAGGGAGAGAAGCCATTCACATGCTGTTTAGACCAAGAATCTGTCTTTATTCTGCCTGTTTTTTTGAGAAATTGAGTGATGTTGAATTGAGAGATGATAGAGTGCTTTATTTGGGAGAGAAAATTTTAGGACGGGAACATTCAGGATGTTACTGTGATTGTTAAACATCCAGGTACCACTGAAGAGAAGACACCTGCATTGACTTAGAACAATGGTTGGGGTGTCCTGAGAGTGAAACCCCACTCATCAGAGATTCCAACTTGAGAGGATTCAAATTTATTTCAAGAAAGCCTAAACGGGAGGGGTTCCCTGTTTCTTAGAAGTGCCAGACTAGGAAAGTTCCCCCAGGGTCAGCACACAGAAGTGGATGTGTTTCTGTAGGTCCAAGCTCTATCTCAAGCTGATGACAGAGCTTGGCAGTGTCACCTACATGGTATGGTTTTAAAGGCATGATGGCAACAGAATTGAGGAGGCCATGGAGAACACCTGAGGCTCAGAGATGTACAGCAAAGTTAGAGTCCAAGAGAGGCGAAGCTGTGAAGGTGATACCTCAATCGCTATGGTGACTCTGGTATATCCAAGATGTCAGGACCATGGGACAAGTACCAGTGTGGGGTGCAGACATGGAATGGATCCAGCTCCAGGGAGAATCTAAGCTAAAGTCTGCAGAAAGGAAGTTGTAAGGGGTGGGGTTACTCAAGCCTTTTGAAACCAAGTTGATTACATGATCAGATCTAGATGCCAGATATGGAGCTTCAGGATTTTATGTTTCCTGTTTTGCTTTGGTACAGTTTTTTTGGTTTGGTTTTTTTTTTTGATTGTTTGTTTTTTCATGCTGTGCTCCAATTCTTCCATTTTGGATTAAGCATATTTACTCTGCGCCATTATATGTTGGAAGTATACAAACTTTATTTTTAGTAAGAGCTCACAGTTTCACAGTTAAGAAACTTTTGAACTTTTAAAGTTTTGGAATTTTTGAAGACTATAGGGACTGTAAGGTTGAACTGAATACATTTTACTTTTTAAAATCGTCAGGAGGACATAGGGACAAAGAGTGAAAAGTTACAGCTTAAAATTGATGTGTTCAGGTTTCAAATTGACAAAGGGTAGAGTTGTGACGGTCAGTGTTTCTAGTCAACCTAACAGAATATAGAATTGCCTGGGAGATGAACTTCTGGGTATGGCTATGGGAATTATTTTAAGTATATTATTTGAAGTGGGAAGACTGACCCACTGAGACATGGACTATTTCATAGACAAGGATTCTTGGACTGTATGAAGTGGAGAGAACAGGCTGAGCACTACTGTGCATATATATTCATCCCTCTCTATCGCCAAATTGTGGATGTGGTGTAGCCAGCTACTACCAGCTCCTGCTGCTGATAAGTTGAAACTGCCACAGGCTGTTCAATAGACATTAACAAATTGATACATAATGCTGTTTTGAGGCACAGCCTTGGTCTCAGCATATTTTCATAAGGCAACTTGATATTATTATGATATACCATGGTTAATTGCAAGAGGCATAAGTGGCAGAAATGCTACATATCCTTGCTTATAATATGTTTATGATGAAAATTATCACTGGCTGCATTTTTATGTGTACAGAACACGCATCAGTTGTAATATATCTTAAAGGGGATGAAATTGCAATATAAGTTTTCTTGTTTCTCATATAGTCTGTCTGAGGTTGCTCTTTATACCTAGAGCTATCCTGTGCCACCACTCTAGAAAGAGTAATTACATTATTAGAAACAGGAATTTGGGCAATTTAGCCTTTGGTTTTGTATTTATCAACATTGCATTTCATAATATTTTATTGTTTTAATATGTAATGGTTTTTAGATTTGCTTATTTTGGAAGCTCTGATAGAAATTTAAAAATACCTATGTTATCTTTAGCAACAACAAACATGGGTTCAATAAAATGTTTCCTTTGTGTGCATGTCCTGTGTGTGTATGAATGTATGTATGTATGTATGTATGTATATAAATGTATGTATGTATATAATACTGTGGTTGACTTGCTTAAAAAGAGTGATCACCATTTTTGCTAGCCTTCCATTGAAGTGTAAACAATGGCTCTCTCGAGCAACCAGCTCTTGATATAAAAAAATAAGGATTTAGGAAATGTCAAAACTGCTGAAATATGTCACTAGTTGGACATGCATGTGACAATAAAATTTATAGGATGCAAATATTAAAATAATCCAATAAGTGTTCGTGATTCTATTCTGAAGGGCATTTGAAGTTTACATATATATGTATTTTTTTCAGGCAGTGATGACTGACATACAACAGATTAAAAAATGAGCATTACAGAGATATTCAGAAAACAGCCCCAATTAATGGATTTTATACTAAAATAAATCTATATATGCATCAATCAGGACTTATATTGTAACACTATCATGCTTACATAGCTATTTCTATTCTAAAAATGTTCTGCCCCAAGGATAAGGCTCAATGATAGAGAATTTACCTAGTACAGTAAAGAAGTAATCTTTAGTATATGGCTGCTTTTTTTTTTCTCTTGGTTTTGCCTCTGATTTTATTTTCTCTGTCAGTGCTCTAGTGGTTCAAAAATGAAATATCATTAGCTTAGAAATAAGCTGCTCATTTTTTCTTCATTTCTCATTTCTATGGATACCCATTCCTATGTTATTCTGTCTTCCATATGGATTGATCCTCGTGCAGACTCTTGCATGTGCTAAGTAAATTTTTATTCCCCTTGTTTTCTTTGTGTTAGCTGAACAGTGAGCCATAGGCTTTGCAATAACAACAGACACTTGCAACATTCTGCAGCTACCAGATCAGCCTTTGATGGCTTTTCCCACCAAAAGGCTAATTTAAAAATTTATCCATGTCTGACTTTTCCTAGATCATATTTATTTTATATTGAATACATGTATACAATAAAGGAATTGTATTTTGGATTTTAATGTAAATGAAGCAATTTTCATCAGTAAGCATTTAGCATTACCTGTAGGTACAAATGAGGAGCTTATTTTAATTTCTGGTATCTGTTCTAAAATTTTCTTGCGATGGATTAAAAACTTCAAGACAATTGTAAGAGAATTCTTACTGTAAATTGCCCCAGGAAGGTTTAGCATTGGAACTGTTGAAGTGAGTGAAAGATTGTGAAGGAGTTTCCTTTAAGTTTCTATTACTTGCTTTTTAAAGAGTAGTTTTATATGTGCTCATTCAAAATTGTAATAGTGATTTGCTTATATATGAATTTTATTTCCAATTAGGCGTCACAATATGGGAACTGATGACCTTTGGAGGAAAACCCTACGATGGAATTCCAACCCGAGAAATCCCTGATTTATTAGAGAAAGGAGAGCGTTTGCCTCAACCTCCCATCTGTACTATTGACGTTTACATGGTCATGGTCAAATGTAAGGCTGGAAAATAATTTTACCACCTGCATCATCATTCTTAATACAATAACAGTTTAGATTGTTTTATGTGCGAAATGTTTCTCTACATTGAAAAACACAGCAGCGAGAATACTTATGAATGCAGAATATAAGTACCTGTTTGTTGTGATTATTATTATGAAATAATAGCATGTTTCCAAGCTACAAAGTAAAAATTATTATCTAATTTTTATAATTTCCATGCCCATCAAAGTTTGTCAGAAAGAGAGATAATTATTCATAAGAATGTTAGTAATAATATTAATGTTAATCTTTATGGGAAAATAGCTCAACATCACTGGTAGTCTAAAACTGGATTAATTGGATATAGGTTTAATCAAAAATAAATTAGCAGAGCAGATTGGGAATCAGAAGAGACAAATCTGCATTGGAGTAAAGATTATAGTGTTTACTTTTTTCAATTTGATCATTTGTTTACATCAAATGTTCTTACTTTTCTTTCCACTCCTATACCCCAGACACATATGTATTATAAATGTGTTTTGGAAGCCTAGACCCTTAATTTTAATAGAATTAAATAAGTCCCTGGGGTTCCTGACTTAATTTAAGTGAGATTAACAGGCAGCCATCTCTCTTGTATAATCTTAGGTTTTTTCCAGTTTTGATTTACACAGAGTTAAAAGAAAGACGCAATGTGGTGAAGGTGAATAAGCATTTTATTAATAAGAGACTCAGAGACTCTGGGCCCAGGTCTTCTCATATTTATATTCATGACATGTGTGATCCATTCTGACAGGAAGGGAAGAAATAAAAAATGTTCCTTGCAGTGCGGGTCAGCATGCCCTTTTCTCTAAGCACAGTCCTATTTACTCAATATTTAGTTAGAGAGAAACAAATATCTCACTGTGAAGTTAACCTTTTTTGGCTCCAGTAGCTTCATCATTAGCATCTTGGCATTAACAAGCGTTTTTGGCTATGAATACCCATAAGATGCGGAATGTTTGAGCTTAGGAGAGGTGACACAAAAGAGGCATAAGATGATACCCAGAAGGATCTCCAGAACAGGAACAAGAATTAACTCTTTAGAAATAGCCAAAAAAAATCAAAATTAAAAAAAAAAAGAGAGAGAGAGAGAGACCCCTAGCTATATAGGATCGGGCCTTGTTTACTCGATGTCCTGAAGAGAGCTTAAAAACATTCATGTCTTGTATGATAATTTGATACCATAACCAGCATCAGATGTGGTTTGAATATCACAATGTGATGACAGAAAGACAGGCAAGTGTTTTGCCTTATTAGGCAAACCATATTGAGAGTTTTACCCTTTCCCCTGGAGATTTTATGCTTTAAAAAGGGATCATTTGGCAAGGAAATTAAAGAAAGCTTGGTGCTGTTGCTATTCTAGTCATTTCATCAGCTAAACGAAGGATAGACAGTTAAGATCCGTTTTATCTAAACTACTTGCTAAAGAATACTACCAACCTGAAAACTGGTATTTTTATTCTGGGAAAGCTAATATTAAGATAAGCTAATGGATGTTGCTGAACACACATTACAAATCATTTTGCATTTTCCTTTTAGCCGGGAGCAAACTGGCAAAAAGCAGTTGCTTTCCATTCCCCTTTCAACTTTTTGTGCCACAGTACTATAAGGACAGCCAAATATTTTCTACCATATATTCTTTTTTTTCCAGTCTATTTATTTTTATTTGCATTGGTGTTTACCCACATGTATATCTGTGTGAGGGTGTCAGATCTTGGAGTTACAGACAGTTGTAAGCTGCCATATGGCTGCTGAGAATTGAACCTGGGTCCTCTGGAAGAGCCGTCAGTGCTCTTAACCACTAAGCTATCCTTCCAGCCCCTCTGCCATGCATTCTCTACATAAACCTTCCCATTCTATCTCAATTACCTTGTCTATAACCGTCAAAGAATGTATTAAAAACATTATCTCTACATTCCAAAACAAGAACAACAGAATCTAAGGGTCTAACTTTTCCCATAGTTAGCTTGGGATCTATTTTTCAAGGACAAGAGTTAAGACTGAATCGGATCAATAAAACGAAAACTGGGGATCCCAGAGAGAAGGTTCAGCAGTTAAGAGCTTGTGCTGCCCTTGCAAGGACTCAAGTTGGGCTTTCAGCACCTAAGTCGGGCAGCTAATGACCACCTGTAACTCTAGTTCCAGGTTGATCTGATACCCTTTCCTGGCTTCTATGGAGGCCTGTATTCATGTACACATATCTAGACGTAGACACATAATTAAAAATGAACTATATTTTTAAAATTTTGCCTTTACTGTTATAGTATATTGCATTCTCTGATGAATGACAATTTACTGAGGTAGAGCCTTACCTAATAGTCTTGCTTCTTTCACTGAATTTTTGGCAGATTATTGTTAAAATGATACCTTTTGCATTTTGCCTGTACTTTTTCAAAATTTCAATGTCATTTTCACCAAGCGTGGGTACACTAATATTTTCCTCTGCGTTAATTGACAGGTTGGATGATCGATGCTGACAGCAGGCCCAAATTCAAGGAACTGGCTGCTGAGTTTTCAAGGATGGCTAGAGATCCTCAAAGATACCTGGTCATTCAGGTTAGTCGTTTTGACTTTGCTGAAAACATCCATTCATCACATGACCACGTGAAACAACTTAGGAACTAGTGGATCTGAATATGGTTCTATTAACTGAGACAAAGCAGGCTGGAAAAGGCAAATACCACATATTCGCTCTCATATGTATGGTATAGGTCACAAAACTAGAAAAGAACCATGAGAAAGGAAAAAGGGTCTTAAGGGAAAGGTAATTGGGGACAAGAAGGTAATAGAATACATATGACATAGAAGTAGAAAGATTACTTGGAAAAGGAAGGGCATGAGCATCCAGGTGAGAAGAGTGAAGAAGATTATACACAAAAGCAAAGTATGAGTGTAAATGCCATAACAAGTCCTTTAATTTGTATGCTCATTTTAGAATTACATATGGATTATTTTATTGGGGAGTATATAGTATTCAAGCAATAACTCAATTCAAATGAACTGATGATTATTTAATTAAAAGAACAGACCAAAAGAACATTCTTCCAGTCAATACTAGGAATCAAATAGATTGGATCATTTAATCGATGTATTAATTTCCCTGTTGTTATTTTCACCTAAAGCCTATACACTTGTACCTTCAGTATTCTCAGTTATCTTTCTTCACAGAAAGGAACCTTTGCCTTCAAGTAGACTGCCATGAAAACAAAAGCCAGACTTTAGGAGATCATGATTTTTCAGTCATTTTCCCCCACAAGTTAACTTTCACAAACTGAAATTGTTTACCAATTATGACAAACTTTTAGAAAAGCGAAAAATACTTAAGAAATGATAAGTTGAACAGAGTTTATCAGAGGTTTCATATCTCTTCCAAACTCACATGTTCTCCATGTCATTGTACAATTTTTGAATGTCATCACTTTGACAAGGCTGCCGTTATACTATAAGACAAACCATGGGTGTCTGTAGCATCAGTGCAACCATGTTCATTAAAAGCTAATGTCAATGGCCTCTTATTGTCTATTCTTAATTAGGCACTTCCTTAGCAGTGAACTGTTATTCTCAAATATGAAGTGGATTTTGCCACCCTTGAAGCATGCACATCACCTGCCCTCATTCTTTTTTATTGTAGTTGTTATATTTATTACATTCTTCTTGTATTCCATTTCTTACATTTTAATATCTAACCACAGTATGGGATTCTTTATCACTGGTAGTTAAGCTAAAGATGTTTTTTTAACGAGCACATGGATTCTCTAGCTGTTTCTTTTTCTGTTATATAAACTTACTATCGAAACCTCATGTTATGAAGGAAAGAATAATGATCTGTGCATATCTTATGGGCAATCTTTCAGGGTGATGATCGTATGAAGCTCCCCAGTCCAAATGACAGCAAATTCTTCCAGAATCTTTTGGATGAAGAGGATTTGGAAGATATGATGGACGCTGAGGAATATTTGGTCCCCCAGGCTTTCAACATCCCTCCTCCAATCTACACGTCCAGAGCAAGAATTGACTCCAATAGGGTAAGAAATAATTATACACAAGTACCATGCTATTTCTGAGAAATAATTTTGTATTGTAAGCATTAAAATTTCCAAATAACTATACATCTAACTATTGCAATTTCTATATAAAAATCACACTGTACCCACAAATTATATGCCAAGCTCCAAATAGATATAGTTAACTGAAAATTAAGCATGGATAATGTATTATGTACTCTGAGATATCACTGTTTCAAAAGAAGTCATCTAAAAAACAATTTTTAATTGCTAAGAACCAAACTAATAAAACTTCATACAGTAATGAAAACTTACCAATTAGTCTTTTACTGTTCTTTGTTTAATATATTATAGCATGCCATATTAATCAATACAAGTACAACTCTTTTACTCATTGAAGAAATATTCACTTTTCTTCCAAGTAAAATACAAACACTGAAAAGTGTGTGAATTTTTAAACCACAATTGATTATATTTACAAGCCGAGTGAACCTTTACTAAGACATTGACCTAAGTTTCAGCAGATGCTTCTGAGAAGAATTTACATTTCAAATATTAACTATACTGTCCGTGAATACCAGTTTTTCACTAAATGCTGTCAATCCATCTGTTTATTTTTAAAGAGTCACTTGTTGGGACTAGAGAAATGGCACTTACAAGTGTGTACTGCTTTTGCAGAACAGTTCAGATCCCAGAATCCATGTCAGGCAGTTGTAAAGTCCAGCTCTCAGAAATCCTGCACCCTCTTCTGGTCTCTGTGGACAGTAAACATACACAAACAAATACACTCATTTAAAATAAAATATATCTTATTTAAATATTTTTTTAAAAAAACACTCAACTTATGAGTGCCTCTGAACATGAGATGTTATCACACTATAGAGAGTCAAGAAATTGCCGTGTAACTTGTGATTTCAGAATATATCCAGGCACCCTGATAGCAAGGAAATGAACCAACCTCAACGCCCATCAACAGATGAATGGATAATGAAAATGTGGTACCTATAAATAAAAATGGAATAGTAACCAGCTATAATGAAAAATAAAATCACTAAATTTTCAGGAAAATGATGCACTTGAAAATTCTAATATTAAAGGAAGTAACCAAACTCAGAGGAAAAAAAAAAAAAAGAAAAACCTGCATACTTTCTCTTACATGTGGATCCTAGCCTATAATGCATACATGCATGTATTAAAAATATGTAAGTGTGAGTATAGGATAAAATTTAGACAAGAAATTAGGAGAGGGTAATATTAGGTGACAAGGAAGGACAGGAAATTGGTAAAAGGACATATGCTGTTAACGAGCCTCATTTTTTTTCTTTTTTCTAGCTTCATAGTTTTCTTCTTTTTATGGTGGATAAGTGAATTCAACTTTCTGGGTATTGAAGTAACAAGAACCATAAATACATAAATAGATGATAGATAGATAAATAAATAAATTGTTCACAAAAGTGGAAAGTCCTAAATGAAGCAGTAATGCTTCAGAATGGCCATTATAACTATGTAGTAGCTGACAGAGATGGACTGGAACTGGCCTAGTGTGTGAGGAGGTTCCTTAGAACAGCTGTATGGTGGTTTTGCTTGTGTGTAAATTAGAAGTGTGTAATTTGATTAATTTTTTATTGTGTCTGGATCAATGGAAGAGCCACAGAGCCATAGAATCAGCATACAGCTTGGCAAGTGCTACAATAAACTATTTCTTGGCCATTGGTGAGTGTGGAAATACAATGAGTTTAGGTCTAGACAACATGTCTTCCACTTACAAGACATAAACATGATTCTTGATTGAAGCAACTTTTCCCCTTAGCATCTCCATCTCAAAACATTGTCACTGTAGTAGAACAGAGTCTCCTAGCTCTCTTGGACACAAGCTTAAAAGAAATTTCAAATTTCTGGTCGTTCCCTAAGACGGAAGTAACTATTTCAGACTGATAGCAATAATGAAATGGTACCTAGATTTTACTCTTCAACACATGTATGTTAACAACTTTTAGTCCCTATGACAACCCAATGATGTTACTGTATTATTGTCATGTCTTACAAACAAGAAATCTGTCACACAGAAGTGCTGTGATAAGAATGATGTCGAATGCCTAGCCAGCAGATCAGAGCTCTTAAACGGGCTTTTTGTCTCTACAACAATGTGCCTCATCGTTAAATATACAAATTTATTTCCATGATATGTTTGTTATTCTTGGTATCAACCTCAGTGCCTGGGACTTGTCAGTGAATATCCCTAGTAATTTTCTCATAAAATGAAACTCATCTGGTTTACATTTTTTAAACTTTTTTCCTCCATTGGAAAGATTTGATGCACAAAGGCAAATTGAAATGAGTCTTATAAACACACCTGTAATCTCAGCACTGGGGAGGCTGAGGCAGGGGCATTTTGTGAATTCAATGCCAAACAAGGTTAGTAGTGATTTCAGTCCCTGCCTGGATAAATAATGAGATCTTGTCTTAAAAAGCAAACAAAGGAAAAACACATAGGAAAGAAGAAGGGAGGGATGGACAGAGGGAGCAAACATCAAGACCTCAGTTTACTTTTCTATAAAAAAAAAAAAAAAAAACGTAATTCCAAGCCAAACTGAAGATTTTTTTATGGTCCCAGTAGGAATAGATAACTTAATAGTTTGAAAATTTGGTCCATAAGGTGGGCATGGTGGGACATGCCTAAGAATCCCATCACTCGAAGTGGAGTTGTGAGTTCCAGGCATGCCTGGTCCACAGAACAAATTCCAGGACAGCCAGGGCTATACATAGAAACCCTGTCTTGAACAAACAAACAAATAAATAAGTATATAAATTTAGTTTATAGAGAGAGTGTGACTCTCAGTCTTTGTGGGAGTCTGTAGTTAAAAGAGGGGGGCACTTTCCCTGCTCTCTCTATAGAGCAAAAATGACCCAATTTCATTATTGTATTTATTGTTCTAAAAGACAAATTCATCACTTTTCATTTCAATAATCAATTTTCAAGGAAAGAATTTTATTTCTTAAAGTGAAATGCTATCAAGATATCAAGAATAAGGCTTGATTCTTTTTCTTTTTATAAGAATCCTGAAATTCCAAGTTTTTGTTCACTTTAATTTATAATGCTTAATGCAAGTTTTTGTTCACTTTAATTTATAATGCTTAATGCAAGGAATTCATAATGACAGTTTAAGCTAACTAAACAGAACTAGACAAAGGAGAAATCACATGGGGAAATCCTTGACCTTTAGTCTTTTTCTCTTCTGCATTTTAATTTGCTACCTGCAAACTCCTATTTCCTTTTTCAGTGTTTGGAAAAGGAATTGTGCTTAATGGCACTTATCTTGGAGCATTAAAAAAAAAAACATTTTTTTTTAAGAATTGTGTGGGTGTGTGCACACGCACATGCACATGTGCCCTGTGTTGCACCTGTAGGATCTCAAGAATACCCTCAGTTGGCATCTTGAGTCCACCTTATTTCAGACAGGCTGTTTCATCCACTAATGCGTATGCAAAGCTCATGGGGCTGCGATTCTCCTGTCTCCAGCTCACATCTCACTATAGGAGTGCTAGGAGTATAAACATGTGCTGGTGTACCTGGCTTTACATTTGCTCTGGGACCCAGTTCAGATCCCCATGCTTTCACAGTAAGTGTTTTGCCCACTGAGCAATTTCCCCAGCTCATTAAAAACCTTGTTTGTTTATATTGCCATAATTATAAAACTCTGGCTTTATATAACTCTTATTTAAACTTCTAACATGTATAAATATTATCTCCATCCTTGTCTATAATGCTGTTACTTTATTTCAATTACTTCAATTTTAGATACTGTGGTCAAGTTATATAAAAAGGGACTGTGTTAAAGCAAATAAGGATGGAATGTTTATAAATATATTTGATAAACCTTTAGTACCAAGTAAGTACTCAGTTTTTAAATACAAAATATAGTTTTCTATATAGATAATTCAGTAATGTTTTGGTTCTTTCTAGAGCATTATTTTCTCATTTTTAAATTAACACAACCCTACCCATCTATGTGTGTGATAGACAATTAAGAATTACATTTTCTCTAGTAACAGGAAAGTAAACATCTCTTTTAGAGTGACACGGTTTTTATTTTTTACTTTTTTAATTGGCCAATAACATAAGTACTCATATTTTCTTCTCACGTTTGCTACTCATGACAAGCGTGTTGATGTGTTTACTCTCTGATTCTGTGTATGTTTCCTAACATCAAACAAAATACCAAAGCAATCTCTTCTGTATCATGTCAGATTGTTTTAAATTTTATGAGTGGGCCAGCAAGATGTTGCAGCAGGGTAAGGCCCTTGCCATCAGGACTGATTACCTGAGTCAGGTTCCCAAACTTGCATACATGGTAGAAAGAGAGAACCAGTCCTCGAAAGTTGTCCTTTAACCCCCGCACATACACTGTGGCCCACACATGTATGCATAGACAAGATGAGTAAATAAATGAAATGTGAATTTTTAATTCCATATGTATTTTCGTAAATTGTAACTTTAAGACAATGAGTAAATTAACAATACAATGCTGATGTTTTTCCAGAACACTGGTAGAAATAAGTTTTAGAAACACTAAAATATTCTCATCTAACCCATAGCTGATGCTACTATTATTAGCGATAGATGTACAATGGTCTTAAATATTTTCATCAAAATAATGTGCCCACAGCATCTACTCTAACATTACGTAAACAGGAGAACCTGAGTAGCAAATCTTGGTTCTCTACGTACATAAAACAGAGGACCTAAGGGTGGAGTTACTCACTCCTTACTACTGGCTGAGGTTCTACTTTGTTTCTCTCACCATATACTATAATACCATCAAAAGAAACTAGACGGTGGGCTGGAAGGACGGCTCAGTAGTTAAGAGCACTTGCTGTTTTACTGGAGAACCCGAGTTCAGTTTCTGGCATCTACATCAGGTGTCTCCCTTTAACCTTCTGGAACTACAGTTCCAAAGGATTTGATGCCTCTGGCTTCCTCGGAAACTTGCACTCATGTGCACATAAACATGTGCACAACA